CCCGGCAGCTCAGCCCCTGCAGCAGCCGCTGGTCGCTGCCTGCACTCTGCCAGCCTGGTGGGAGCTCCTAGGTGCCCTGAACCACTGGCAGGAGCTCAGTTTCTCCAGGATGGAGAAGTGAAAAAAAGCTGTAATTACTGGCCACAAGCATTTCCAGTATTCTGTGCTCTGAAGGAACTGAGCTGCAGCCAAACAGGGGTGGAAGCCAAAGGGTTCGGTACAACACACGGGCCAGAGCCGGTTTCTTAAACATAAGCTTATAGGCACACACCAGAAGTTTCCTTCTTGGCAGATGTAAGCTCTGAAAAATGTGGCAAGGAAAGCAGGATGTTCAGTCAACCCTTTAATAACAAACAGCTGTAATAAAGTCCGGGCTTCCTACAAATCAAAATAAATTTTGCCACCAAGCTCCCTGGAGCCAGTGCTTCAGCTCACGTAGCTGGGAAACGTCAGGGTGGAGGGGACCCACGCAGTGAATTTTCTCCTCCCATTTGAACTTTTTTCCTTCTTCCATCACCTTTCTTTCTTCTCCCGTCTCCATTGCGATGCCGCATGCCACTGCATCTTTTCATAGCAGCTGGCACTTTACAGCAGCAAAAGCAATCCTTGTAACATACTTGGTATCTCGCTGCAAGTGGGAAATTTTCAAAGGCCGCCTTCACTCTGGTTATGGGACTTCAGAGAACAAGCCCAGGAGATGAATGGCCAGCTGAACTTCAGGGTCCCCGGCACTCTTGCCACTTTTGGTAAGGAGGGAAGCTAAGGCTGAGGTCAGGCCCTTGTGTAAACTTCTGGTTGGTCACTGAAATCGTTGAACCATCCAAAAACCACAAAAGACTCTTTCCCTCCCCCACCCTTTATTTTTTTCATTCCTCCATTCGTTTTGGAGACAAGCATTATAGGAAAACTGCAGTAAGCTATTTTCAGGGCAGCTACATGTTTTTTGACTTGTTGGCATCCCAGTAAAATCCTGAGCTGCCAAGGGCATTTAGCCCTGTACCTTGGTCCTGTATGAGGTCCAAGTTTCGCAGTCATTAGGCAGCAGAGCTGATAAATGCTGTGATTTAGAGGTTGCCTAATGGAATCTTTTGCCCCAGAAGACATTCAGAGTAAAATCCAGAGTGATGCTTACAGAAAAATGGTAAGCTTTAAAAGTAATGTGTTGGGCTGAAGGTGAGTAGAGACACGGCTGCCAGGCTTCAGCCAAGCATGGCTCGGGGTAATGGCTGGTTGTCCACCCCCGCAGCTGCCCTAAGAGAAGGTACCTTTACTGTGCTGAACACATGAACTTGTCCTGGCAAGAAAATCAGGCTGCTGGTGAGGAGCAGGATGAGCTGTGGTCTGTCCCTTGGCGTCTTCACCTTGAACAGCAGGGAAGAGAACAGGAAGGAGCAATGCCCCTGGGAAGAGGATCTTAGGGGACAGAGGATCTGTTGAAGGAGAGGGATGAGCTAATCGTGAGATTTCCTTCTCTGCTCCATTAGGATGGAATAAACTTGGTCTCAGATCAGCATCCTTTGGGTGCAGTTCAGTACCACTGGGGAACTGCTGGATTAGGGATGCAAACAAATCTTGTGATCATCTCCCACCTCACATTCATTGACTCTAGAGGGTGCTGTCAAAGCTCCCCAGGTGGTGGGAGGTCAGATGAAGATGTAGATCCTCGTTGTGAACTACTTGGTTATATTATGTGTTGAGGTGCAAAGCCCACTTGTGAAAAGGGGACAGTAACAGAGATTTTCAATAGAAATGTAGAAAGAGTCCTGCTGAGAAGAATCAGCTGTGCCTGGCTTACCTGCTCTGTAAAGGCTTTCACTAGCATTAACTCATTAACTCACAAATGTAGGACAGCCAAATTATGGGTTTGTCCTCTCATTAACAAGAACATACTGATTCAAGTGGGTCACGAGCAAACTTGGACAGCAAAGCCTGGGGGCCTGTCTGTGAATAACGCCTACAAAGTCGGGTTTGTAGCTCAGGGACGTGACTTGTGAGCTGTTTGGGGGATGATGTTGCTGAGTGATCGACAGGACTCTGCCTGCTGGGTGCTGCTCCAGCACCCACAGCCGTGACCTCAAAGACAGCTCTGCACCATCTGAACCTCAGCAACTGTGACTGAAGTCACCAATAAATAAATTGATCCCTATCCTTCGGCAGGCAGCCGCAGCGTGTTTTCTACTCTGCCTTTACAAGTCTTCACTCAGTCATGAGACCTGCTGGCTCCACATGCCCAGACAGCGCCCAGATGCTGTGGATTTGCCTTTATTAGAGAGGACTTTTAAGAGTTAAGAGGGAGCTTAAAAAAGACTGAAGCAAACTATGTGTAGGCCAGATCCTAAATATAGTTGGAATACCACCCCTTAATTGGCTGTTGAGTCTCTCCAAACCAAATTCTTCTTCAAATGCCTTTTTAGTTGTTGGTAGAAATTCAGCTCAAGTATAAACCAAATTGAGTTGTTTTTCAAAATACATTCTGGAAGAAGTGGATGTGGGCACACAGAAGAAAAGCTATCCTTGTAGCTGCACGTTTGATTCTCTTACACTTTGAGAACTTGCTGCGTAAGACAAAAGGTAGAAAGTAAGACTACCCAGCGGCCTCTGCTAGCATCTTCTTTTTTGTGACGTGCTTTTAAAACCCATACGTAACCATCAACTGACAGGAAAACTGCCTGGAAGTTTGTCATTGCCAGTGCTGGTCATTTGCACTAAGTACAGTGAGCCTGCTGATGGGAAGTAGTGAATGAATTCCTTGTTTTGCTTTGCTTGTGCGCGCGGCTTTTGCTTTACCTATTAAACTGTCCTTATCTCAACCCACGAGTTTTCTCACTTTTACCCTTCCGATTCTCTCCCCCATCCCACCGGGGGGGAGTGAGTGAGCGGCTGCGTGGTGCTTAGTTGCCCGCTGAGGTCAAACCACGACATAGTTTTCAAATTGCTCCTGCAATATTGATCCAGATACTGCTTTGGATTACCTGAAGATATTGGGGGTGAGGGTGGGGGGTGTTAGGTTTAAGTCTATTACAGTGAAGTATGAATCGATTTTAGTCTTTATAAAAAGTCCCAAATCTCATCCCGATAAAATGACAAAGCAGAGATACTTCCCTAAACAGCCTCACTTAAAAGCTTGAAAAACAACTGCAGTGTATTGATTTTTTTTTTTCCTGATCTGAAAAATTCAGTTTCTAAATTCTAGACCAGATCATTCTTGGCTGCCTCTCAGGCAGATTCAAGATGCCCCAAACGACGCCAATGGCACTGAGGAAAGCAGAGTATAAAGGACAATACACAAAGCAGCACAAAAGCCTTGAATGTTCTATTTAAAGTGACTTTATTAAAACATTGTTAATATAAAATGTGACCAAGTACAATTTTTTTTGTAAGAATGTTTAATAAAAACATATTAAAGAAAGAAGGAGCATCAACTCTTGTCAAAGCACAGGAAAAACCTACCAGGATAAGTAAAAAGTTCTGCAGCATGTTCTACCAGCTGGTCCCAATGTGTATTAGGGTCGAGTTAGCCGATGGAAGAGACAGGCAGCCCAGGTTCTTCCCTAAGAAGCTTTAAGGTATTTAGCAGAGGTTTAAAATAACACTCCTCAACAGTAGGAGACTTTGCTTTCATATCTCTCCATATCAAAGTAAGGTTAGAATGCACATCTTCACGTTGGATTTATACCTTTTCAGCAGCTGAATGTACAGAAAATTAGATTCGCTGGTAACTGTAAACCCCAGGGTTAACATTTGTCAGCTTTGAAAAGAAGGTGCAAGTCAATGCTAATTATACACCTAAAGAATTTGTGCTGAAGTTGTTCTAAGCTATATTAATGCTGGATGCTCTTAGCAAATGCTAAAAAAGATCAGCTAAGAAAAAACCAGCAGTAAAGTCCAGGCTGATAGCAACAACAAGTATTTTCTGAACTGCTGAATGCAGAGTCAATATCCACGAATTACAGGAGTTTGTACATCTCAGGAAACACGTAAAGAAGCTTTCAGAAGTCTATAAATAAGGCTACGCAATGACTTATACGCTGTGGCAATCTTCTCCTTAAGCTAAGAAACCTTTTAAGAAAATACTAGAAAAACTGGAGGTTTTGGGCTTGGTGGGTCTTTATGACTTATACGCTGTGGCAATCTTCTCCTTAAGCTAAGAAACCTTTTAAGAAAACACTAGAAAAAATGGAGGTCTTGGGCTTGGTGGTTCTATTTTTCTTGGGGGGGGGAAGGGGGTAGCCTACAGCATTTTCCTTGATCAACAAGTAAGTTTTAATGCTCTATCAGCATCCTCCGCTTGTTCAGAGCAAGCAGCACACCGATTAGAGGCAAGGATTCTTCCAGGACATCTCAAACTCTTCCTGTAACAGGCAGAAGAAAATCCTAGAGCATCCAATTCTGCACATTTAACTGCCCCTGGCACTGAACCAAATGTCAAGTGCTAATCCACGAGAAGCCTAGCACAATTACGGTCTAGGAGATGGTGACCTTCTTATAGCCTTGGCTGAGACCCGTTAGACCCCCGTGTTTTGCCTTCTACCCCAAACAAATGCTATGGGACTATTGCTGAGGTAAAGGGAAAGGTCAAACCTTTGGCATTGGAGCAGACCAGTCACTGGCTGTGCGTAGGGGGAATTAAGGCTTCAAGGTGAGGTAAACACAGTGAGAGTCAGTGTGTAAATCATGCTGCATTTCAGAGACGACAGATTCGAACGATAGCTAGTCTTGTTCTCTACGTTTTAAACACCAAACAAAGACCATTCGAAAGCAGAACTGGAGGCAAGTCTGCTGAGGGCCACCTTGAGATGCCTCTCTGCACCTCGGGAACAGATGTAACCCACATGTTGAACGCTGAAGAGCATGTACCCACACAAGGAGGAAAAAAGCACCAAAGTTGATGAGTCCTTGAGACGATAAGCTGCTTAAAAAACAAAGAAGCCTTATACTGCTATGACCTCCCATAAACATAGTGGTTTCCTGACACAAAGGTAATCTACACTCCAGCAATTCCCAGTGCTGTACTTCCAGCACTACTATTATGAAGAGTTATGCTCTAGTAAGGAGGCAGTGAAATCATTAGGCTTGTGTTCCCTGAAGACAGTCTCTCCCATTCATTATGTGTTGTCCCATTCCCCTCCACCCACCCCCAAGTCTTTAATCCAAAGACCAGAAACTCCTGTCACTTCCCCAGGTCGTTTTTTTAACACTCTTATGTTATTTTAGCAGATTTGTAGGGTACAAAGACAGTGCTTCTTTGGATCCATCATTTTGGCAGTGCCTTTGCCCTCTTCAAAAGAAAAGTGTTTTCAAATAAGTGGTACAAAAGTTACTTTCAAACTAAATGAAATATAGAAATCAATGCAATTCTTCTGTATGCTTATTTTTCATCCTGTTTTTGCTAGTTATCTGAAGTATGGAATTATTTGCTTATTTGGAACCATTGCACGTGCAACGCTATTTCTTACAAGCCATGCTAGCAAGGTTTCGACTGAAAACAGCGATCTGGTCCTGTAGGTTCCATTTCTAGGATATGGAGACTCTCATCTGTTTTTCTTTAACACGTGTATGGTAACTTCTCCCATCCTCTCAATACAGTAGCTACTAAGAATTTTAACAGATATTAAAAAAATATCCAAATGAAACCACACTTCTATCACCGTTTTAAAAACAAAAATGCATATGGTATTACAAAAGTTTATACAAAGGCAACATTGAAGAGTTTGAAAGTTACTTCTAGAAAAAGACACAAATGCTAGTAAATTAACATACAAGGAGAAAGATATTCCACTCCTTCCCCAAAATTGGTGTGATGTATTTTGAAGTATCTTTTACCAGTTGTCTAGAAAATCAAAGCCAGTCTTCAAGATAACACTGCTTGTACTAGTCTGCAAGGAAAACAAAAAATAAAGATGTGGTTGTTAATTATGGTATTACAAACTCAGTACTTGACTGCCTATCTACAAAAGAAAGTTTAAAATGTTGAGTGCCAATATTTCAAGTTCTTCACCTTGCTCTAGGATACCTAAGAACCTACACCAGAAAATGCTAGACATGGAAAAATACTCACAATGACCAAAAAGGCAATTCCAGATAAAAGTAAAATTCTTGTAGTTGTCTGCAGGCAAAATGTTATTTTTTCCCCCGTGGAAAAATTCATAAAGATCAATTTTTAGACTAGAGTGGGAATTGCAGAGAATGAAACAAGACACGGAATGCAAGCATCGCTAATTCAATGGATTGCCTGTTGCAATGACAGCCAGTTGTTTCCAGAAAACCACACAGTTTAAACTTTGCTAACAAGTTATTTACTAGGCTATCAAGAACACGCTCACTCCTGCAGTGCTGCACTTTTAGCCATGACATTTAAGGTGATTTTAGTGTTCAGGAAGACTATTCAAGGGACACAGCTGAGTCTCTGGATTCTCTTCCTAGATCATGGCTCTCTTCCCCAGAACAGGGAAGATAATCCAGAAAAGAGGAAACAAAGAAAATTCTGTCATACTGTCTTCTCTGCTACTCTGTTCACATTTCGACGTGGGAGGATTGTTTCTCCACGGAGAGAAAAATCACGCTTTCCAAACTATTTCAGTTAGCTAGAAAACATTCACAAAGGAATTAAAACTGTAACAAACCATTAATTTGTAGGAAAACATGAAAAAGCCTTTAACTAAAACCAAAGGACTACCGCGGTCACAATTTGTAGCAAAACAGCTCAAGAAGCATTATGTCCTAGCTTGGGAAAAAAAAGAAAACACTAAACATAAGGGTCCAAATACTGAAGTGGCTTAAGTATTGTTCTCTCCTAAGTGCTACCACTTCCTTCGCTTCCAAGTATTTACCTCATCCTGCATCTTTCTGACCTTACATCATCTTGTTCGGAATTTAAACAATCACTGTTGGGAAAATACGGTAGAGAAGAAGCCATGCAACATGCTTAAGGTGTACGGTAATATGTCAGGCTTATGCCAGAGTGATGCTACAAATTACAAACAGAACTGCAGAGCTCTGTTTGAAGAACCACTCCGTTTCTCTGATTCACAGTTCTCAGGCTTCAGATCTCTTCCTTTTCTTTCCCTCACCATGTCATATCCTGTTGTTCCCTTTCTTTTCTCACAGATCAGCATCTGCTTTTTAAATAGCTTCAGCTGGCTATTGAGCTGCTTAAGGTTAGTTTTTGTTGTTGAGTTGTTTGGGTTTTTTTATTAAAAAAAACATTGAGAAGGCTAATTCTGGAAACTCATTCCATTTCCATTTTGGACTTTAAGAGAAAACACATTTGAAAGCAGCCCAGCTGCCTGGAACAAAGCACTGGGAAATGGCTGTTGGGCTACCGCTTAAAACAGCTGAGAAACTAGTTCACCATTCACCGCTATGCTGTGTGTACCAACAAAGTATCCTAGACTCTAGTTTATCTACTTTTCAAGTTAAAAAACTTTTTTTTCCATTGTTTTGCTGTTTCAAGAAAAACAAACAAACAAACAAACAACTCTTTTACTTGATATAGCAAGCTCTTTACCCCAAAACTGTTAGGTAGGTTGCTGCCAGTTAGCCACTGGATGCCATGTCAGCATTTGTGCTATTACATTTAAATGACGCCTTTATCCTGTGCACATTACTACATTAAAAAATACTTGATTGAAACAAAAAATAGCAGTTAACATGTTGGTTAAATAGACTTCTTTAAATTTGCAGGATAAAAAGCTAGCAAGCTTAGCTATGGCTTAATGCTTTATGGAGTCCCTAATCTTCCAGAGTGGCCTTGTCAGATTTTAATGTGCTACACAGTTTTTAAATCTAAGGACAGTGGATACAGCGGTCCTCACCTGTCCAGGCATTTGCGGATCTGTAAGTATAGTACCATCAGTATCTTCCTTATTTGTCCTAGAAGATGCCAGGTCCTGTGGTGGGTCAGGAAGAAGGAAGTCATCTAGAGAACTAGCAGGGTGTTGAGTGGGTCGAAGTTTCTCCCATTCGAGAGATACGGAAGGTAGGCTGGGGGCGACAGACTTCTCTGGTTTAGTTATGCTGGGCTTCTCGGCTTTTGCCATCTCCTTTGGAGTAGACTCTTGTCTGTAAAAAGAGGGAAGGGGTTTCTCTCCTTTCTCCATGGACTTGATCTGGCTGGGGGTCAGGGACTGGAACTCAGACTTGTCTCCTTCAAACTTTGAGCGCTCTGCATTTATCTTCCAGAAAGAGGACTCCTCTTCCTTTCTGGATGCTATCAACCCATCAGAGCCAGGGGTCTTACTGGCCTGAGAAGATTTAGGGACTTGGACACCAGGTGCTGCTTTAACGGGCTGCCTCTGTTCATTTTGCAACTGGGCACCACCTTGTTCTTGTATGGACAGAGATGCAACGCTGAACTCCATCTGACTCTGTTCAGGGTTAAAGAAAAACAGTATTTCAAAGCCCTTCACAAAGACACAGCTTTGAACTTCTGATCTTGATGCATGTAGATAACACCTTTGCCGGTGGCTAGACAACTCCCAGATAGTAGATACCACAGCAAAGCTAACTTATTTTCTCTATAAATGTCTCTTTGTAGCTACATAAAAATAGTAATTTTTAAAAGTCTGAACTGCAAGCAAACGTAAGAGTCCTAGACCTGCTGCAGAGGAGTCAGAGTGGCACTTGAGTGCCATCCGAGCTAGCAGTGCATAAGCATGCACAGCACTAAAACATTAGAATAGCGGCACTAAAACATGAGAACAGTTGTGGATGCATTTTGAAAGCCATAGATGTTCTACATGAAAATATAAAGCAAAAAAGCTTTACAGTGTAATTTAAAAGGCAATCTTCCATTATAGTCTTTGAAAGAGTTGGCAACATGTTACAACTCCATCTACTTCCAAGATAAAGGATTAGATGTAATGGGTATGCGTAGATAACGTGGTTTTTACAATTATAATGCCCCTCTAAAGGAAGAGAAACAACTCCAGCAGGACCAGTTCTTCACTTATTCCAGAGCCTTGTTTTGTTTTTACTTGCAGTGCAGATAGCTGTACTCGTTTCTGAGAGGTAACACTGGGTCAAGGAAGCAGGTGACCACAGATCTTGCAAAAGCCACCCAAAAGCGAACATTACTTCAAAATGTTCATTTTACTTACCACCACTTCAGTATTCTTGATTGTCAACTAGCCGGACACTCTTTAGGCTAATAAAAGTTAAGCCTTATTTCACTCTGAGGAACACGTAAGTGTTACTGTATTTAGAGCTACGCTGTTGTCATGATGGGCCTGATTAGTTTTGAAAAAATTCAGAGGACATTTCAAATACTAGCTTTTGCTACAAGCAAAAGTTGTTCATTACAACACTGAAGTTCATTACAGATTTGTGATGTTTTCTCCATTCTACTTCATTACCTGGCCTTTCCTGAATAAAACCGCAATAGCGTCTATGGGCCTGAGTCTAAAACAAGCCCTAGTTGCATATCATTTTCACTAGAAGTGTTTGATCTCGAGTCCTACATTATTGTGCATGTTAAGTTCAAAGGGACTCTAGATCTAGCAGGTCTTGCACACCTAGTATTTAATATTCAGAAAGGTCTCATCAAAGTGCAAATGTTAACTCAGCAACTGATTATTTATAAAACAATTTTTTTTAAACAGTCAGCAGCTGACTACACATAATTTGATTCATGGACTAACATCTGACCTTTCTAAAGAATTAGATACATTAGATATTTTTCCAAGGCAAGGAAGCACCAAGTTCCGTGTTTTCATTAAGAATATACTGTGTTATCAAAAGATGCAGAACATAAGCAAGCTGTAAGTAATTATAGCTCAGCTAGAATAAGGTGAGTGCAAGGATACATGCAACTCTTCCCAAACAGCTCAACACCTCACCCTGCCTGCAAAAAACTAAGACGAAAAGCCTTAGTGCTCCAATTTTTTTTTTTTTTTAAAAACAAAAGTCATGACGTAAAGTTAAGAGCAGGAGTTTTTTCCTTAGATAAATTCTGCATAAACAAACTATGGATGCAATGGTGTTGAGGATTATTTACAGTGACTGCCATTCCCTATATTAAAATATAGGGATTCATTTCCCTAAGCTCATTTGGCAATTCTACTGAACAGAGATTTACAACCCTTAAGATGCTTTAAGACTTCAGAACTGATAAAATCCCAGCTTAAAAAAACCCACAACACAATATAAAATAGATCCGCACTTCCCAATATCCAAGAGAAAAAAAAAAAAAATTTTTCTATCTTGGAAGACTTAAGTACCTTGCCATATAGGAATTAAGACAGTGCTACTTTCTATCCTTCAACAGTCTTCCTTCTTCTGAGTAGCCTGTGCCAGGGCTCACACTAGAGATGACAGTAGCTAAAGGCCACCATAGCAGCAGTCAGTTTCAGTAAAATGATTCCTTCACCCCCCCAAGCCCAAGAGAGAGGGGAGGTCAGTGCCCAGAGGGGCCATCACAGCCCCAGACCCACCAGAACAGTGTTGGAAACAAAACCAGGAAAAATACTGATGGAAGGGAAGCAGGGGTCTGTTAGAACAAAAATTAGAAAAAGGAAAACCAACAGGATGGTTTTGCCTTTCAACGGCAGCAAGATAGACAAGCAACGCCAGGCTTCCTGGGAAGTTCTTATGCTGTGGTGCAAAAGCCACTGCCTGTGGTCATGTTTTATGTTCTTTCGTATGGGTCCAAATATCCACTCAGAGGTCTGGTTTGGAAGCGGCAGACCGCTGCTAGTGTAGAGAAGAGCGTGGCACTGCAGCACAACTTCAGGCAGTTGTACCTTTTCCAACCCGCTCGTGGATGCATGTTCTGGAGAGGATGCCCTCTTTGTCCTTTTAGAACGCAGACCGTGGGGTGTACCTTTCCATTTCAGAAGACAGGACCACCCAACATTTAAGATTGCATATTTGTGTCACGGTATGCTTTGGAGATCAAACAGTTCATAACCTGACATGGAATAATCTGAATGAAAATACTTCTTCAGGAGTTTGCTTTCTCCCCCAAGGAAGGCAAAGATGACAAGACTACCCTGACAGGTTCTGAAAGCACCGCGTCTCAGCATGATGTAAATACAGCCCCGAGAGGTCAGATGTATAATTCTGCTTCTAGCATTTAGCTCGAGAAGCCAAGAACTTCTGTGGACCAGCCACAAGTTATTCTGTTTTCCTTGAAATACATAATGCTTCTATTTGACTTTCAAAGTTACTTAAGACATCTGAAACCCTAAGAAATGTAGCTGATGAAAGAAAATGATTAATACACAGTATCTTTCAAGTCACAAAATTGGCAGTGAAATACTATAATCACCCTCCCTGCGCCTCTCCTCCCCCCCCCCCCCCCCAAAAAAAAAACCAACCCACCCAATACAGCAGCAGTATAAGTAGGGAGCTAATTTCATGCAGAGATGGAGAAGACCCATGTGTGAAACACCCCATGCTGACATCTAAGTCATCAGTAGTATTGTACATTCCAATGAGTCACTAGACGCTAGAAATGTGAGTTTAATTAGCGTTCTGCTCTCAATTTCTTAAATCAGATTGCAAACTGACAATTGATTGGGTCAGCAGGAGAGGGAACGAAACGACATTTAAAAGACAGTTACCCAAAAAAAAGCATTTCCTTTTCCTTTAGGTTTGCCAGCCATGAGAATATCTTGATGCACATCTCTCCTGGCCCCAATCAAACTTACGGTAGCAGCTAGTCCGTAAAGGGCCGTACCGCGTGTTTGCTTTCCTCGGGCTGAGGCAGAGCTGCTATGAGCTGCAGTTGCGCACTTGAGCATTTAGCAGCAGAACTGCACTTGTGGCACTCTACCAGCTGCCACCTTGGGGAAGCAAGCACTGAACGTTGCAGTAAGATTTGATGGTCAAAAGTGAATTGTCATTTAGGAACAGTTTGGGATTCTAGAGATAGGGTTTCAGTCCCCAGCTGCTTTCATAGATTTTGTATGACTTTGAATGAGCTGCAGTTTCTGTACTTTAATTCCCCGTCAAAGGAATAAAATAAAAATACTTTCTTTTTCCTACCATTTGTCCAAATTGTATTTCTGGGAACTGTTCAGCCCAGAAAGTCTCGAGAGTTTACAGACAGGCTAGTACAGTCCCAACTGCAATTTCTAGAAGTTATGAGAATTCAAATAAAAGCTATTAACAGCAGTAGTATTTTCAAAATATTGCAAGAGCAAGTCATTCTCAACGCATTAAGAGAGAGAGGGGGAGAGAGAGAGTACATGTGAGAGCATGCATGAAGTAGTATTTTGAGGCAGAGCAAACCTAGGAGTCTGTGTTCTTTTCGGTCTTAACCCTCTGGTCCCAAACCACTACAAGGGTTAAAATAAAGGATGCCTAGGTCTTGGATCATCTTTCTGTCTAATAAATGTAAGTAATATTAAAAATTGCAGGTTTTAGGAATTTGTGTGTCCATCTTTCCTTAAAAAGACTATATTAAGGTATTTAGGAATTTTATTTATTGGATTAAAAAATTTAGACCTAACTTCAGTCTCAAGGCAGGGATAATCCACCAAATCTTAATATTGGCTGTATAGACTCATGGGAAACAATGTATTCTAAAAGAGAGGCACCACACACTAAGAACGTAATGATTTAATAATACTGTATAAAATCAGGTCTCAGTTCATAAGTCTATATTAAAAACAAGATGACCACAAAGAACCCAGGAGCTTTTTCTTTTTTTTTAAAGCATCTTATTCACTCATCAGGAATGTGTAGTATTTTACTAAACAGTCAAGCAAACACAGCCAAAACAAATTGTTTTGCTTGGCAGCCTGAAAAATCCAAATTGTTGAGACAAAGACTGCAGAAACACTGTCAAAAGCAACTTGTTTTAAGCACAGCCTGATATATGCAGAGGTAAGAAAGCCAAGTTTAAAATGATTTAGAAGATGACTTTGCTTTGCTGAATGGACAAAACCAAAATAAATACGGGACCCAAAGTAGTTGCAGTTTTTGCTTTGTTTCCTGTGCACACCGTGGGTGTTTTCAGGATCTTTTCAGAGTCAGAAATAAATCCTTAGGTCAGCAGAGACCAATTGCAAGGGCAAAAATAGAGCAAAGCACTCAAAAACAATCTAAGTAATTTTAGTCCATACAGAAAGACAACGCCAAAGACACATAGCGTGGAGCTTCGGAGGAAATTTCATGATCTACTCTTTGGTGATATGAACAGCATCCTAGTCTGCCACTGTCACTGGTTAGCCTGAGCAAACTCATACTGACAGTATCTAGTGTGTGCACGGTTTTACACTTAAAAACAACTGTCTAAAGATTGATGCAGGTAATCGGATCCTTAGCCGAGAACATCTGGCCATGCAGATTAAAATAAACCTTGAACACTGCTACTATTACCACAAGTTAGGTTTTTTTTGCTCAAGAGTTAATAGTCAACAGTAGTCTTACAGCACTGTGTTTTAAACATCTGTAGTCTAGACCAAAAAGGGAAGGGAAAACCCAAAACCTCAGGCACCACTCTTTTGTCTTTCCAAGGAAGCATTGCCATTTATGCCAGCTTGATAAAAATAATCACACCGAAGCATAGTTTGTAACAAACAACTCTAATATCAGGCTGCTAAGGAAGGAGGGGGGAAAAAAAAAAAATTCTTTTCTGTCACTTTCTTCCTATTTAAAAAAAAAAAACAAAACACAGAAACAACTAGGACTTGTACCAAGAAGGATATTGAAGACTGTCTTTTAGTTTTAGATAAGGGAAACAGTTTGCAAACCACATTTTTTATAAGTGCAACATAATTTTTTTCTTTCTAAATCATCGCTGGGATTAGATCACTTCTATAGCAATATAATTAAGGAATTCACACGGGGAGGCAGCAACCAGATTACTGAAGGGATTGAAGCTTGACACTCTCTTTTTGCCTTTTTTTTGTTTGTTTGTTTTTAAACACACCTTGAAGACTTCTCTTTTCAACAAATATCTGAGGGCCTGTTGAAAGCAGAAGAGAGCTGAAGCAGGAAAAAGTCAGGAGTTAAAAGAAAAAAGTACAAAAAGGACTCTCTAAAGCTATCTTCACAACTGTTCTACCTGTATCAAGACCAACAAATTTTAGATGTGCATGTGTCTATTTTAAGCATTTGGAATAAAACCTATTTTAGTTAATAGCACGAATTAGAAATAGATTCCAACTTATTCCCATGCTGCTCTGTGCATTCACTGTGTTAGCTGAGGTGGCAGACTGAAATTATATTTTCTGGCCACTACTAAATTAATTAAAAAAGAAAAAAAAAAATCACACCAAAACCAAAAAGTTCTGAGTTCAGGAAGAGTTGCAGAGAAATTTTATTTCCAAACCCAGGCACGATTCTTGTTTTCCATTTATATCTTGGGATCCATGCTGAGTTTCGCTGAATTTTTACTTCAAACAAACCAAGAAACCTCAAAGGCTAAACTCGGCCAGTATGACAGCTTTCATCTCACTTAAACCTGAAGCCATAAATAGAATGCCCTAAATTCATAAACCTGGCTTTAGCTCCAGTTAAAAATGTAACCCACATTTCAAGATGTGTTATGTTCATGAGGGCTCCACCCATGAACCAAATCACTGTCTCCAATTCAATCTCTAGTTCTAAAATGTCAGCTTATTTGCAGTGCCATGAGAACTCGTTGCTTCCTGAGTAGTCTTCCTTCTGAGAAGTGCTACAGTTTTCTACTAAAGATAATTAGTATTTTAAATGCTGTCTAACAGCTAACTCGGCAATCTACATTGTATTTCTGCTTTGTTTTCCTTGTTTGAGGGTTTAAAAATAAAGAGGTAAGACAAGAACTTTAAATACACATCAAACTGCTAAAAATGGTGGAGATAGTCATGCAAGTGTTTGCTGTGATACAAACGACTTAAGCCGTATCTCACATTTCTGTTTAAAATGAGAACACAGAAAGTTTACTTCTGACAGAAGTTATCAAGCCCTTCAAGAACGTTCTGCCCAAAATGACAGCAATTTAGTACACTGTTCTCTGGGTAAGTTTGACAGCCATGAAATTAGGGAATCCATTGCACTAACTACCATGAGAAAACTTTGTCCATACCTAATCAACTGGAATCACCATTGGCATCACTGTAACAGCTGAGAGAGGCTCCAACTTGCAGAAAACATGCCCTCCCCTCTTCTCTACTCTTCTCATTACCCTCTCAGTTTTCCTGAAGTTAGTTACAGACAAATACTGATTTTGCTGCATTCTTTTTCTTAGTCTCAATGTTAAAAAAAAAAAAAAAAAAGCCTATTGGTTTTACTGATTTACATCTCTACTTTCTCCTTCTCTGCAAAAGCAGAAAGTGAACATCACATTGCCTTCCTTGGATAAGCCAGAGCACGTTCACGCAAAGCTGCAAAAGAACGAAGGGATTTTGTCATCACTGCAATAACATGCAAAAAACCAAACCAAACCAAAACCTCTGCATTAAAGGGAGATCAGGGAAAAGACTATTATGGAAAGAATAACCCATCATGTGGTAGAGCTCATAGAATGGAAAGAGCCGGACAGCCTGAAATAACAGCAGGAACAGATCTGGCTCACAAGACACTGAACGTGCGTTACAACATGTCAACCTTCTTAGACAGCTCATTCAGGTTTCTTCACTGTTTCCCCACGCTGGACCGATTGGGCAAGGATACTTTTTCCTTAGCCAGTACCTCATGGGGGAATTGCCTTCCAAAATTATCTTATTAAAGTAGTGGTTAGGGAAGAGATCAAAGAGTAAGCACAAAGCAAGATCTCCACCTTTAGAAATGGAAGACTCAGCAGTTGAAGGATTTGGCTGAAAGACTGACACAATATGAGGCACTGGGGAAAAGTGAAAAGGAAGAACCCACACGAACCAACCAACCCACACCCCATAAAGCCGGACAAAATGGATTTTCTAGAGTTTTGCTAAAGGAAAAGGTCATGCAACTTTTCAACCTACAGCTGACGCACAGCTTTTATCTCTGGTCAGCAAGGAGGGAGGCGGGGGAAGAGGGAAGCACAGCTTGATTAGCTGAGACAATTATTTCTAATTATTTTCTAAAGCAACCTCCTCCCCACCTCACTTTTCTTCAGTAGTCACACGAGTGTTCCCATATCATTCTGTGATCCTCCATTCATTACAGAATAGTATGAAACTAGAGCATCTATCCATTGCGGTCCCTCATTTTGAGACACCAGAAGGACAGTAAAAATAATCTTAATGGGCAAGGGATAAACCACAGGCTGGGTTGAAAAACACTTCACTAGACATACAAGCACTTAAAAGAAAAGACAACTATCAACTAAAGAGAAAATTCATTTGAGTGCAGATGCATCTCATCATGGATCACTAGTCAGTGCATTACATGAAGCACTATCTCCAGGAGGTTCAAGTATTCAGAACTTACAAAATCCTGTCAAGACAGAGCTTAGAAATACGATTACACCTGCCATGTTCCCAAAACTGAGTTTTAGGGTTTGCACCAAAATGTAGGGGAGAGACAACACCGCTGTCTCCAATGTATGATTTATTTTACCTTATCGTCAATGAGGTCCACACTCTTCTCACTACTTTTCTTTTCTTGACAGCTTCACCCAAGTACACCCATGCTAAAAGCCTCTTTAGTATTATACTAAAAGCCTGTGGCTGCTTCTTCTAAGGGTCCTGAAAGACAGGAGGGCTTGCCTGAGCTACCAGGCTTCCACTGCAGGAAATCCTCCACTGGCTTCTGAACCACCAGAGCTTCTAAGGGAATTTTAAGGCAAGTGAAGACTGGCAATGGTTTCTCTTTAAACTGCAGCACTGTAGGCTGCAGGGACCCAGGAGTCACATCAAGTTATAGGTTAATCAGCATCTGCAAAGCACAGATGGGGTGCTAGCTACAGGCAGTGACCTTGAGCAGGGAAGGGAAGACTGACAAGTCTAGGGTCAACTGGATCAATTTAGTATTCACTGGCATTTCCAAATAATTACTCTGCATTAGGCTAAGATTATAGTCATAAGCTCATACATGATTATCTACATAGTTCAAGGGCAAAAAATGGAAGAAACAGGGGAGAAGCAGCTTTCTCTGGCAGATAAAGCCAGAAAACACAAAGTCTGAAACGTGATTAAATTAACGTGCCCACCATACCCAGCTGAGAAAGGCAACGAGCTGTGGTTTTGCTCCCAGATTTTCTTCAATAAGAAGAATTAAACTTGATTTCCCACCACAAATATGGTGCAACTGTATTTCCTCAAACTGAAGGTTCAGAAAGATGGGGAACTCGGGCTCTGTCTTAGCCTTATGAGAATCCCATCGTAAATAATGCTTTAATAAAATACCAGAGGTAAAGTGTGTGTGTGGGGGGAACAAACAAACAAACAAACCCAAAACCAACCCACCAAAGAAAAAGACATTATTTTTTGAAGCAGCTGCTTTTTGGAGAGGAAATAACACAATGCTTCTACCATAGCCCCAGGTTAACAAGTTTCATTACATTCTAGTACATAACAAAAAGACAAAGCATTAGACAGGCTTTAAGAAAGAACCCAATGAAGTTACTAGGTATCTGTACCTTTCTCATCCCATTTCCTAGCTACTTTACTCCTGACTTCTGACTTCAAAAGTGAAATGCAGTTATGTTTATACAATATCTGAGACACTGGTCTTGCTAAACATGGAAAGTTGTTTAAAAAGTTTACAAAGAAAAATCAAATAATTTGTAATTAATCAGTTTTACACCTGCACTTGAAGCCAGAACATTAGTTCATGAAGTACATTTTGCGTTTCTGTTGATGTAAATCGAAGCACACCAGTCCCATTTCATTTGCAGGACGGTCACTTTACACAGCTCCCATAGAATAAAGGTGACATTAGTCTATCAAGTCTCAAAACGAAGACGATATAAATGCACAAGGAACAGTATGAAATGACAAACCAACATTAAAAATAAAATTGCTGCATATTTACCTTTGTTTCCCAGGAGAATGGAGCCGAGTGTTCATCTTGCCAAGTTATGTCCTGAAATAAAATTCAACAATGACTAAAAATCTGAAGAGCGCTTTACCAGCTCAGGAGCATCATAGAGATGACATTATGTTGCACTGCTGGAAGCATAACAACCACTACCACAGAACTTGCTAAGAAGCGAGAGCACTACTTAGAGATGGCACTGATTACATTTTAAGACTGACTGAAAGCAAGTTCTCTGAGGGGAAGACTATCAATTAGTATACCAATTTAACCTACAAAATATATGAAGGTTTAACCTGGTCTAAACCTCTTGAAACGGTTTCTCTACAAAGAGCTTTAAAACATATTACATTTCCAGTTTTCTACTAGGCGTTTTCTTTGTCAGCCACTAGCAACACACAGGGACAGAAATAACAAAAGGAGCAGGGGCCTTAGGGAAATAAAGTCCCATTTCCTCCCCTCCGCAGACCGGGTGCAACCAGGCAGTCATACGGCAGGGGCTGCGCGTCGCGTCCATCAGGCCAAGCCACAGCTGGATCCAGCCCTGACAAGACACATCGTTACGCCACTTCAATCACCATCAGTCTGAAATAAGTATTCAGTGCTGTCAAAAGAACCACACGATGTCCAGAGTAAAATCCCAACCTGAAATAGCTTCTTTTAAGCGGCAGTGAGACAGCTGCACGTCCATCAGGCCAAGCCACAGCTGGATCCAGCCCTGACAAGACACATCGTTACGCCACTTCAATCACCATCAGTCTGAAATAAGTATTCAGTGCTGTCAAAAGAACCACACGATGTCCAGAGTAAAATCCCAACCTGAAATAGCTTCTTTTAAGAAGCTATTTTTCTGAAAATAATCCCAATTTGAGAAATTTAAATAATCTCTTCATACACGGCATGCCCTCCAGAAATACATGCAACCCACACTGAAAAAAGAAGGGGTGCAAAATAAATAAATAAATAAATGTCATTCACATTTGTTCAAGACTTGCAACAAAATGATCACACTTCTACTCCTAGTCATGGATGAGACTCATTTGTACATTGGATGTTCACGCTGGTAGAGGTAATGAGTTGCACCCTCCATACTGAGTATACCACTGCTTGGCCACCCCAGTACATCAGGGGAGGAACAGGAGTCGGAACAGTGGATGGAAGGAGGAAGGCCAGGAGTAACCATGCACAGGGAAGGAGAGGACAGGACAAGACCTGGAGTGCTTGTTTCACACTCCTGCTGTTCGAAGAATAACATAACTAGACCATGTTTTAAGCTAACACCGGAACCCCACATCTTACCATGACTACCCTTTTCTTCTTACTTCTGACCTCTGCCTTTATAGAAATACATTTCTCAGACATCTGATAGCCTTCTCCTGATCTGCCATCTCTTATTTCACCCTAGGCAGATTTTGCTGGCCAAGGGCTATGAAATCACAATGACAAGTGTCTGAAACCATCTCCCAAACATGAAAACGTGTCATTCTCCAACTATGACTCATCTGTGAAACACAGGGTTTCAAGCAGCAGAGTATTTGTGGTATATATGAGTGTGATCCCATGCTCTTAAAAAAGAACTGGGTTGATAGAGAACATCTAAAAGGAAAGGCCTAGGCTCTGCTGGACCACACATTCTGGCCAAAAAGGAAATTTGGTACAGGAAATTTTTGCCAAGAACACAAGTGTAATACCAGGTTCTCTCATTCCAGGAAATGGATACTCATTTATTAATATTTAAGGGAAACAAAGGGAGTAAAAGGCTGCTTTTTAGTATCTGTTCTAACTTCTACCCATATTTGCACCGTGGAGAGCTGCTGACCACGTGGGAATGCCACACCACTTAGATGGGATGCCTCACAGCAGGTGAGTGTCAAATTATTTCAAAATCATTTTAGGACCGTATCCTTTGCCTCTGAAACTGGTGGAGTTGGCACTTCATTTCTGAACCACGCATGACAGGAATCACAGTCCAGGGGAGAACAGATATGGGAGAGCCCAGCCACTGGATTGGGTCTCACACACAAGGTAGGACCGTAACACTTCTGTCCACATGGGGTCTGGACAAATCAGTACTTGACTTCAACCACAGCAGTAAAGGACAGAAATGAAGTCCAGCAAACAGTGTAACACACCTACATAGTGTCACAGCACCTTAAAGCTCCAGACATGTAGGCACAGCTGTCTGTGGGTTTTACCTAAGGAGCTTAAAGGAAGCTCTGACTTCTCGCCATTTACAGGACATGCAAACCAGCCGTGGACCAGTTTTAAATTTGGGAGCGAGCCAAGACCATCCTTGTCCTGGATCTGACAGCCAGTTCTTTATCTTCCTGTATTTGAGGCAAGTGTAGACAGCGCTGGGAGGGACACCTCTTCACCCAATGCTCCCTGCACATCCTCAACTCAGCGATGACAACGCTGCTGCGAGTGAGCCCTGCTGACAAAAGACTGCCTGCAGAGGGATAGAAAAGCAGCATGGGGAAGGCAGAGCGAAGGTATGAGGTTGTCATGCACCAGGATGTCATTCCCTACAGGACGGAGCAAGTTGGCTTCCCACTTCATAGGATCTGATGTCTTCTCAACCGCCACAGCACTTGTTGGCACCTCAACTTGTAACCTCAACATCCAGCTTAGGCAGACAAAAAGCTTCTGAAATGAATTAATGGTATTTTGGTACCAGTTGTTAAAAAGTTCTTGTCAGAGACAAAATCTAAGACGTTCATAGATGATTTCAAAAGATGGAAGTAGTAGACATTTGTTAGGCAGGAGCAGTTCCCTGAAAGAAAAGGACCATAAATTTTTCTTCCTAAAAGGATGGCTCATTGTATCTCAGGCTGCACAGCCCAGCACACCTCAGAGCCAGTGAGTCTGAGGAGCTTTGCCCACATTCGAGAGATCTTCCATGGGATCTAGCAAAGGATAAAATAGGGTAAGACATGGTTTGAGGATACAAAGCTTCAAGGAGCTGATGTCTGTGGTTATTTGAAGTGTACCTGAAGCTAGGATGAAGGAGACAGCTGTCAGGTTCTGTCCATTGTCACGGATGGGAAGGAAGTTTGTGGCCTCCTCCTCTTGTGCCCTCACACAGAGGACATGCAGAGGACCAAGTGAGAAGCAGGAGAACAACACAGTTCAACAGTTTCCTGTCTGATGCGCCTGATTCATGTTTACCACCAACAAAATCTGAGAAATAACTTTGCTTTCTGTAGAATAAACAAGTTCTCACATGCTTGAAGAAAATGGGAGCAAAAGAATCAACTATTTCAATATTCACAAAAGTAAATTACAAGTGGAAATTCTAGAGAAAAAGGCTTCAAGGCTATTTATCATCAACGCAGATTAGAAGAGAACCATATCTGATCAGCTTTTGTTTTCAGCACACAACAAAGCCTTCTTCCAGAAAGAAGGCAAATAAATAAACTTTTGTTCACCAGCGTTAAAGAACCTATTTGTAAGAAACGGGGCCTCATGGAACATATTTCATAGCTAAAAAAAGAAAAAAAGAAAAGAGAGCGAAAGAGAGGCAAAAATCCGGTCATACACTTCACTTCAACAACCAGCTGCAGAATATATAAAAAAGAATCACAAACTATGTTTGCTATATGTACGCAGCTTGTTGCAAAACACCATCTGAATTTCAAGATGGAAGACACTGGTAGAAACGTGCCAGCGTATCTGACACAAGCATTGCTCAGAGCAGCTGACAGTAACCAGGCAGTCACAAACCCATCAACAAATGCATCTCAGAAGTGTTATCAGAACAGGACTTTCTGGTTATTGGGGTTTAACTGCACTCAAAAGCTGCCCTGCGTTTTTCATTTTTTTAAAAAGCACAAATCTATTACAGGCCCAACATAAAAGTTATTGCTATATTGAATATTTGTTGCTTTAAAGCATTTTTAAGTAGGAGATAAAAGGGTCGATCCCTTGGCTTGGTGCCAAAGTTCTTAAGGCTAAGCAAAACAAATACTGTATCTGCCTTCAGGTAGATAAGTCAAGCTTCCCTATTAAAAGATGATGAATGAAGTTAACCAAACTCTCTTACCTGTCATTCCTCCACATATAATGTTTACTACTTCCTAAAGCACATGGCATTTTCTTCAATTAAAAGTTTAGTTATTTCAAGTCCAATTTTTTGAGCTGCTGAGTACCACTCAAATACTCAATATCCCTTTAAAAAAAAAAAAATCAGACCTTAAATCAATGTGTATGTCACACTCCTCTCTTAATATTGTCCCTCTTTATCCACAAGAGTGAGAACTTGTTGTAAGCTGAATATCTAAACTATCTTTCACTGAACTTAACAGGGAGGATCCAGCGGCATCAACTAACATCAAATCAGATGCTAAACACAAGCTGACCACTACAGCTGTCAACAGATGGTAGCCTCTCACACACTGCTGTTTTGCCACCTATTCCACTCATAATGGCTCATAAATTATGGCGTATTTCAAAAATAGCCCATTTGTATTACATTTATATTCAATCCCAGATTCTATTTCCAGGTTTTACTCTGTTCAGTTAACCTTATTTTCTACCACTACGAGCATTAGACATAAATGGAGAAATGCCATCAGTTGGAGGCTGCTTGGGAAAGAGGAAGCTCTACTTGAAGGTTGCAGCCTCCAAAAGCCCTAGGAAGCCCTCAGCCAGAAGGCCTAGGCTGTCTAGACACAGAAAATGATACTGAAGCAACAAACAGTCTCCTGGTGCTGGGACCGTGTGCAATGACAGCAAGTCAATCTTCAGCAAACAGGACAAAACTTCTTTCATGGGGGTGTTAAATGACCCTATTAGCCTGGAAGAGATGAAAAATATATGCATGACCGAGACCACATGACTCTAGAAAACAGAACAAGATAGAGAGGCAAGAGATACGGGGTTTTGCTAGGAGAAGATGTTGGAAAATACCAAGGCCTGCAACCCCATCAAGGTTATCGAGCTGGTGTATTCTGGGGTCTGTTTCAACTAGGAAGTCTTAACTTGACACCATGAGGCCAACAGTGGACACAAAATGGCTGGTGTTAGCAGTTGTGCGCATCCTC